GGACATTGATTGTTTAGTGTTTAGAAACTAGATTTTACAACTAATTTCATCAAAATCTCATAATTTTTCAATTAATTCTTGAATTTTCGAAATTAAATAAACGAAAATTTTTAATTAATTTCAAACTATTGTGTTTTGATTTAATTATGTTGTTAGTATGAAAACTATACGTATATTGATTTTCAAAACTTTATTTTTCAGTAGTTTTCAAAAACTTTGCCTATTAGGATTGGTTTAGAGAACCTTGAGATATTGAGGACTCAATTGAGTTTTGGGATTGATTATATTACATACATGTGTTTTAAAATTGCAAGTTATTCTTTCTATTCCGATGACCTTAAATCATGTCTCACAAACGTTCTAGACCTTCCTCTAGTTGTTCTAGCCAACCTCCAAACTCACCTCCAAATCCTCCACCTATCCAACAAATTCCTAATCATAATCCCGATGATCCAAACATGACCATTCGCAATTCTTGCTTCAATGAACCCGGTCGTAGACAAAATCTCTACTTTAGGTTTTGTCAATACTTTGAGTCCTACAAAATCTGGGAAGAAGGAATCCCATCTCTTCAAGCCATGTTAGACATCAATTTTCGACATCTTCCTACTCTTCAAGAGTGGAAATTTGATAAACTCTTCGAGCTTGAACCTATAGTTTACCACCAACTCGTTCGTATCTTCTACTCTAATGCTGTTTGCATTCAAAACCGAGATAAAACCTTAACCATAGGAATCCGATCCTATCTTCTAGGACGATTCTTTCATCTTGACTCGGAATACATTGCCACCACATTAGGATTAGATAATGACGGGTTAGATAATGAAAAACTAACGGTAGGATCTCAGTATAAACGAAGGGATAGTGCGAGTGTTTTAGATCTTCACGACTGTTTCCTTCACCTTATGATCTCTTGGTGGTTTTGACCATCCGGAGGCCGTTACTCTACTCTTCGAGCCTTGGATTTATTTTGGCTACATTGTGTCCAAAATAATCTCAAAATCAACCTTCCACAGATTATCTTTTCTGAACTTGTCAAAACCGTAAATCTTGTTCCCAATAAAAAATTATGTTCTTCTTTAGTTTACGGTTGTATTATTAGTAATCTGTTTAAGAAGGTTGAGCTTAGAGTTGGTCTTGATGCTTCCTTTCCCCTCAAAAACCAAATCAAACTCTTCTCTTTAACCAAATCAGGATGGAAGTTTAATGAAGAGACTGGTCTTTGGGTTCGTATTCATGAACAACCTCCGAAAGTCGATGACCCCGACGATGAGCAAGAACAGCACAAGGAACAAGCTCCACTAGAGGAACAAGCACAACCAGAGGATCAAATGCCTCCATACTTTCAATCCTTTATGGAGACATTTGATTTCCGGTATGCATCCATGGATTCTCGCTTCACTTCCATAGAGTCTCATTTATCCACAATGGGAGATCAACAATTGGAGATTCTCCAGGAGATGCGCGCGAACAACGCTTCTATGAATGAACGCATTAATGCACTCTCACATGAGATGGCCGCTATGCGAGCTCATTTTCCTCCTCCCGATCCTACTACGGATGCTTGATTATTTGTCATGCTTTAGTAATTTGAAATAGGACTTAGAGATTATTGTTTCAACATTTTGAATGACTTTGGATTATTTTTAATTTTGATTGTTGGATGTTTGAATTTGGTTGATGTTTTATGGATGTTTGAACTTATATTTCTATATATTTGGTTTGGATAAATTTATTCATCATTTACATCATGTTAGATATATGACCAATTTCGCCATATCACATTGTTTATGAATATTGATTATGAAACTAATGGCTAATGTTTCTCTTGATTATGATCTTAACAACTTAAGCTATATTTATAATCAATTGGCTAAATGTTTTTCAAAAACTTGTTTAATATCTTTTAATAGTCTTTTTGATTTAACAAAAAGGGGGAGAAATGTTAGAGTAGGGGGAGTAATTTCAAAATCTTAAAATTACTAAAATGTTTTGTTATATAAAAAAAAGGGGAGATTGTTGAAAACATTTTGATATTTCGATATAACAAATTAAGTTAAATGAATTTTAAGATTTTCCAAAAGATTTTCTAAGTATATTCGATATAATTATTCGAATATCAAAATATTACTCCAAATCTTTCAAATGTCATTTTTAATCCTTACTCAAGTGTAAAATTAAGTTTTAATCTTAAAATAATTTCAAAACAATTTTACAAAGTATTTCAAACCATTTCAAAGCCAAAAATTCCAGATTGTCCATAGGGAACCGATTCCCCCTCAAGGGGGTACCGATTCCCCCCTGATCAACGGTCGAAATATTTGAATTTTACACTTAGGGAACCGATTCCCCCACGCTCCAAGCTGTTTTATTAATTGATTTCACACTAAAACGGCTCCACTGACTCCACTAATCATCCCCAACATTCAGAATCAATTGAAGGAGTATTTAAACAAGCTTAGAAGCCATTGATCAAAAACAAGAAACAACAATCAACAAGAATCAAGAGAGAAACAAAGAGAAAACATCAAACCTCAAGTTTGAGCATTTTCAAGACTATTTCATTCAATATTCATTTTTTCTTTCAAGAACACTTATTGTGCTCAATTGTATTATTCTTGAGTGTTCTTTCTTTGTTCTTTCTTTGTTCTAGAATTGTGCAAACATCTTGCCTTGTGAGGATTTTCTTGTAAGTTTGCAAAATTTGTATTATTCTCTTTGGGAGAGAGTGTTCTCAAGAATTTGGGGTATAATTCTTGAGAGATTTGTAAGGTTACTCTTTGTCCTCAAAAGAAAGACAAATTAGTGAATTTGTGGAAAATCCTTAGTGTAGATAGCTAAGGTAGTGGACATAGACTTTGGTTGAGAAAGTCGAACCACTCTAAATCGCTGCTCAATTACTTTCAATTTTTCTGCAAAGCTTCCACCGAAATTTTTATTTGCCAATTCACCCCCCTCTTGGCCAATTCCATCGATCGATTAACTCAACATCTTTTCCTAATAAAAAATGAAAAAAATAAGAACTTAACTTTTAGAGTATTTAAAATCATTTAACCTTTTCATTTCAAAATTATTATTAACTAACATATATTTATTAATAATAATAATAACATCAATATATACATATTATTTATTAAATCTATAATATAATGAAAAATACGAAGGGACAACCACCGCCGATAAGAACGAAACACATCAATGAAAAAAACCTTCCGTCGAAGACAACATATATTGAAAAGATGTTGATTGAGGTGAGTGGCTGAATGAATATGATTGCATCGGTGTTTGAGGCTCTGTTGCGGACTGTGCAGGTATCTGTGTCATTCTCGATGTTGAGGCTCAAGCTTGTTTTCTTGTTGTCTGACTTGATTCCCCTCCACCTCTAGCACCACATTGCATCGGTTAACGATTTTGGGAAGGCACATAAATTTTTCGTGCTCGCTCCTCGTCGGTCAGTATATGCGGCATCCCATATTGTTCAAACCATAAAAAGTAATCATTTGAAACACTGTGCTCGAAGATGGATTGACAAATAGGTCATTTGTCTAATCTTATCATCCACTGCGACACCCATTCCACATGATGAATCTACAAATTAACATACGTCTTCCCTTATCGTGTTACATGATGCAAGTCATCCTAGTCTAGTAGCGGTAGAGAAATCGTTTGGATATAGTTAAATTGTCGCAACATGTGATTGGTAGGATGCCACTCGACTATCTCATAGACTATCAACAGGACCATGGACATTCAAACGTCCAAACTGAGACTTATTTCAACCGAAGTATTCGATCTAATAGTATCATCATTGTATGGCGTCCACAAGTCGACCAAATACCCATCGACAATATCGATAATAGTCATTCCATTAATATGCAACCAAGATAGAATGCAACTTCTTCAAGGGTAAAAGTCGCCTCCCCACAAGGAAAATGAAACGTGTGCATCTTTGGCATCCACCGTTCTAGCAATGCGTTTATCAGTAGAGGATGTAACTTCGTACCACCAATTATAGTGTTAAGGTAACCAAAATCGGTTTCGTGCAAATACGAAAGAATATCGTCATGACGACTCATAAAACGGTTGACATAACATGTCAACGAACGTTCATACCCCTTCAAATAAATAATTAAAATAAAAAAATAACCGAAAAAAATAAATAAATAATCAATTAAATAAAGGAAATAAATAAATAACTGACAAAATAAAATAAATATACGAATAAAAAAATAAATAAATACATAACCAAATAAAATAAATAAATAAATACTTCTGGATTTATCCGCCAATAATCGAACATGTGCCTTTGATCAAGCCTCAGTAATCTCGCCATAGTAATCTATTAATGTAATAATTAATAGAAAATAACAAAAAGAGAGATATATGATGAGTAAAGTGTAATGATGTTGGGTAAGGGGCCTATTTATATAAGTCATCGCATCCTTCTGAAGTGAGACTAAAGGAACCTCATGTTACCCAAAGTGCAAGGTTTATTGAAAAGACGTGTATTAAGACAATACTCGTGCTTTGTAGAATGCAAGGTCGTGGAATCAAATTTTAAAATTCAATTTTTTTTAAAAACGCGATAAATTGTTGAGACGTTTTAATATCTCAGGGACTTTGCGGTGCTCAAAATGCGAGTTTTTTTATAAAAAATATTAAATTGTATTCTCTGAAAAGTGTTTTCACATTGAAGGAGTCTCGAACCCTATATAGCGCTAGGTCTTGACACACGTTTTTATAGGGCGCGAAGTAATCCGACGTGTGTAGCTCGAAGAATATTTTTTCAATTAATGTTGGTTGAGGTTGTTTTTTCAATAAAATAATAAAAATGATTTTTTTTATTTAATAAAGCCCACTCCGCCATCACCATAAATCTCTTCCTCTTCCTCTTCCTCTTCACTGTAAGCTTTGGTGGAGGCGATGGTTTAATGACATTAAAAGAAGCTCCCACTTTCTCTTCAATTCCTGCCCTCTCAACAAAACATCAATTCTCAGTCATGTTAGGGAAGAAATTTCGTCCGATAATCGGGAAATTGTCCGAATTATTGGTTTCTGGTAACAAACTCAGATTTTTCAACCCCATAATCCCTTTAGATCTCAAGAGCTCATCGCCCAAAACTTCCAAGAGATACGACGTCGGTGGGGTCGGATTAGGGATCGTCACCGCACTCGAGAAGTCTACTTTCACCGATTGTCACAACCGTGCAATTTGTTGCTCAAATTTGAACCGATCGAATACGATCGTCGTTGATTCCGGGAAGGGTTGTGATAGTTTCAAGGGAAGAACCGATGATTTGGAGGAGGATTATAAGCATGTGATAAGCCATCCGCCTGGGAAATCATTCCATCATGTTAAAGAAAAGCCAGAAGCAAGACTGGCTAAAGACGACGTCGTTTACCCAAATTCAAATTTTCTCGCCTCTTGTCATCTTTGCCGGAAAAAGCTGCATGGCAAAGACATATACATGTTTAGGTAAAAAAAACAAACAAACGCTTCACTCACCCTAATAGATTTCGCCTTTGAGTTGGAATTTTTCTTTACATAAATTTTTTGGTTTGTTCAGAGGGGAGACAGGGTTTTGCAGTGAAGAGTGTAGGTCGAGGCAAATAATGAAGGATAAGAGGAAAGAATATGGCCGCAGATCAACAGCTTCAAGATCTGCAAAATTTTCAACCTCTCCTCATAATAATACAGGCCAAATCTTCTCAACTGCAACTTATCCTTGCAGATCTTCTGACTTACGTTTTTAAATCGTAATTTCGGGGTTTTCACGAATATACTTACCCAAAAAAAAACCGAAATTACATAGGACAGGCTCCGCATATAATAATAAAATTATATCTATAAAATAACTGTAAGCTGAGAAAACAAAAAAGAATGAAAAGGAAATTTTGGTGGGGGTGGTAATGAAATTATGTTGCCCTTTCACATAGAGGAAAGTTTGTGTTCATCAAACAAGGTTTGTCTACTTCTATTACATTATTGGCGAGTTAATATATTTGGCTCATTTTACAATTACAATTCTGTCCATCCTTTCTTAAACTTAACATAAAAAAATTCAAGCTTAAATTGAATGCAAACATATAAGTTTAAATCCATAAAATAATATTATTATGATTTATTTTAAAAGTTTATTTATTTGATTTTTTTCTTCTTTTTAAATTCGATTTAATTTGGAATAAATAAATTTCATAAAAAAATTAAAATCGAAACGAATTGTGAAATCATGTATTTAAATCAAATTACAAACAAAAAAGACTTGAAATCGACCAATATCACACCATCTTCTATTCATATTACAAGTGTATGTGGCAGAAGGGTCACCATCATATGGTCTGTAACACCCAAGATTAGTACGACACAAAGTCGACCGATTTAAGGTGCTACACGAAACCACCGAAGTGGCTAACAACCTTATTCTTACTTTATTGTACTGTAAAATGACTCTTTACATCTGAGAGCCCTCAAAATGTATAGATATCTACATACTGACTCTTAATTGACTTTACAACTCAATACAACTGAATTCATGAATGTACATGCCATTTAAGAAACTTGTGACGTACTCTGCTCTGCACTGGATCTGGACCTCGATATCTCTAAAGCTTCTCAACTGTTGGGTCTACTAACTTGCCCACGGTAATATCCACACTAACAACTAAAATATACTAACAGTTGTCACTAAAATGCTCAAGCTATCAAGTCTACTGTTATCTGGTCTACTAGTCTGTTCTATTATGATTTAGTGAGTATACTAGTATACTACTCTCTATTCTATGGTAGGCATCATGGTGCGACTGAGGGTTCTGCATCTCGGAGCTCACACACCATTCTAGTCTACTGAGAATGTGGCCCCCAGAATCCCTGCATTTGACACCACACCCCCTGAGTTCTATTTTAATGGACTTTGAATTATTTTTGAAAACTTTTGAGAACTTTGAACAAATTCAATTCAAGTCCAAAAACATTTGAAAAATTATTTTTGGCAAAACTCCCCCTTAATAAAACATTTCATGAAAAAGAGCAATATTTGAAAAATATTAAAGCTCTCTTTTTTCCATAGTTGAAATTGAATTTTTCAAACCATACTTCTCCCCCTTTTTTGTTATATAAAAAATAATTCAAATTTAAAGTTAAAAAATAACAATGGAGAGTAAGTGGTAATTTTTAGCATAAAAATCATTTGAAAAATGAAAAGTTCCCCCTCAATAAAAACATTCCAAAAAATGGCTTTAAAAGCTTGACACTTAAAAGAAATTGAATTTCAACAAAAATGAACAAACATGTTAGTAGCACATAAAATTCAATATATCCAAGTCTAATAAACTTTATACAATACCAAATGTTGAATTTAAGTGTATGTGCATAAAGCTATCCAAAAATGTTATGCATTTGAAAAATTGATATCGATATAATTTGCAATAAATCACATTCATAATAATTTAAATTATGGTCAAAAATTAAAATTTGGAAAACCAAAACATTAAAATCAATTTTTGACCAAAATTCGTTATGATGAACTAAAAATTATGAAAAATCATTAAAACTTTAAAATGTCCATCATAACACATTTTTCAACATACATGAGATGAAAAACATAAAATTATTTAAAATAAAAAACTCATGCATGCTTAAACTAAATGAGCAACCAATTAGGCAAAATCAAAAGACATTAAGCTTAGAGGTTTCACATTTCTTTTCAAGGGTGGCTAGAGCATCTCAATTTCTTCACTTTGTCACCATTGCTCTCACACACCTAGAAGAGACATTTAATTGGATTTTAGTATCCAAATTGTCTTGGATCCTTGTAAGTTAGTTTCAATGTCTCTAGTTCCCTTAGGAACCCATACTTGTCTAATTTTAAAATATTTTATTTTCTTTATAGGACAAGTATGTAGGTCTGTAAATGAACCGAATGAACACGAACAGGGGTATGTTCATGTTCGTTCGTTTATCTTTAACCGAAAAAACGAACGAACACAAACATAAACAAACAAAAAAATTATCGTTTGTGTTCGTTCATTAAGGAATGTAGCTTGTTCGTATTCGTTCATTTAAATGATAAACGAAAACAAATGAACGAACATAAATGAACGAATGTAAACGAACATAAACGAACGGATGTAAGCGAACATAAATGAATACAATAAACGAATGTAAACGAATACAAACGAACGAACGTAAACAAACACAATAAATATACATAAATGAACGTAAATGAATATAAATAAAAATATATATTTTTCTTTCCTAACAATTTTAGGATTATATTTTATTTAATTATTTTGGGCTTTTTTATTTTTATTTAAAATTAATTGAATTTTAAAATATTTATGGGTATCAAATTAAAATGTATTAGGTTTTAATATTTTAAATAGGTATAGAGAGATTGGCTAAACATAAATGTACGCACATAAACGAACGAACATAAATGAATGAACATAAATGAACGAACATATTACTGAATGTTCACGAACGTAAATGAACGAACGAGCCATCTGTTCGTGTTCGTTCATTTAATTAAATGAACACAATATCTTGTTCATGTTCGTTCGTTTAATAAATAAATGAACATAAACGAACTTCCCACCAAATGGTTCACGAACGATTCACTGAACATTCGGTTCGTTTACAGGCCTACAAGTATGTTCCAAATGACCATGAAAATTGCAATGTGAGAATTTTTCCATTTTTAAACATAATGAGTTGTTTTTAGAAATTATTTTTTTTCTTTTGTTAAGCTTTCAAGCTTAACTTTCAAATAAAAACTTTCTTTTTCTAAATCATTGATTTTGATTTTTGTAAGCTCTAAATCATTTTTCAAAGTTTCATTTTTTTTTCAAAATCAACTTTTTCTTAAAAAAATAAAATCATTTTCATCTTTAAATTTTGAAATTAATTTCTTATATTTGAAATTCATGATCTCAAATTCCAAATATAACTCATTATATGCATCTTATAACTCGTCAAAAGAATATGAATTTAATTCATTAGAGTTGGTTCTTCTTTATTGTTTCCATGGATTTCCTCGAGCTTCTTCCAAAGATCATTCACTTTTGAACAAAAAGAAACTCCTTCATAGATATCGGGACCAAATGCACAAAAATAATATGTGCATGGCCTTGGCATTTAGTTGAGCTTTCTTCCATTCTTGGGAACTCCATTCCTTTGTCTTCTTCTTTGGAGAAGAGTAGTCGTTCTTGAACATCTTCCGTGCATCAAGATCATTGGATTGGATGAATAGATTCATTAATTTATTCCAATGAGGATAATTGGCTCCATTGAAGTATGGAGGCGTGTTGATCGGGTTGGGAGTCTTCCATGTGGAACGAGCCGGAGGTGGAAGCCATCTTCTCGGTTGCTTCAAAAATGGATAGAGCTTCTTCAATGATCATATCAAGGTTGTTAAACCTTATAATGAGTCAAGCTTTTATACCAATTGTTGGGATTGATGAAGCTCAATTGGACAACGGAAAATGTGCCAAGAGGGGGTGAATTGATAATTTAAAGTTTAGGGAGTAAGGAGTATAAAGATAAGGAAATTTGCACAATGATTTATAGTGGTTCGACTTCTCAACCAAGTCTACATCCATTACCTAAGCTTCTCACTTAGGATTTTCTAACAAATCCACTAATTTCTTTTTTTTTTCAAGGACAAAGAGACAACCTTTATAACTCCCTAGTTTTTCACTTGGCTAAACTATAGCCACTCCCCTTTAACAAAGGAAAAAGAAATGTAAACAAGAAAACCTCATAAGGTAGGTGTTTACAAAATTAAGCTCACAAAAACATTAATATTTACAAAAGAAAGAAAATAAAGAGTGAAAAACTTTTCTTTTGTGTATGAATTCTTGGATAGGTGTTCTAACCCTTCTTCAAGTGTCCTCAACTTGTTTTTATAGGTTGTAATGTGTTTGTGACTGTTTCTAGTTGTTGGGGATGATTTGGAGTCGTTGGGGATAATTTTTTTGCAAAATAAAACTGCCCAGGAAAGGGAGTATCGATACTATTTTAATGAGTATTGGTACTTCTTTTATAATTTTTAAATAAACTAGTTGTTACTAGCCATTGGGTCTGACCAATATCGATACTATGCTCATGATATTGATACTACTATGTAAAGTAGTATCGGTACTCCTTTGAGTATCGGTACCTATTTTGCATTTTGGAATTTGAGCAAATTGGTAGTATCGATACTTCCTTGAGAGTATCGATATTTCTCTTACCTTTGACATTGGTACCACAAGAACAATATCGGTATTATTCATGAAGTATCGATAATGTAAGAACAGTATCAGTATTGTTCATGAAGTATCGATAATGTAAGAACATTATCGGTACTACGTAACCAGAAAATCAATTTTGTGCTCAAATTCTATTTTAATGGACTTTGAATTATTTTTGAAGACTCTTAAGAACTTTGAACAAATTCAATTCAAGTCCAAAAGCATTTTACCTTAATTTTTATATCAAAATATTATAAAACATGGTTCAAAAGACTGAATAAGTTACCCATGTTGATAATATATTTCTTTATCTTCTTATTATTGAACCTCAATATAGCATTTAAAGCAATATGACGTATACAATACGCATGAAATACAAGCGGAGGCGACCACATACTTCTCGATCTGTCAATCATGGCCAACAACCCAGGTAAATAGTTTGAGATCATATAAACCCCATCTTGAGTGATAACATGGGAGTGCAAGTTTGATAGAAAGAAACTTCACGTTTCCTCGGACTCATT